AACGGGGAGGGGAAAGAGGCTGGGAGGGGGGGGGGAAATGCTCATTTTGGGGGGATTTCACCCTAAATTGGGACATTTTCTCCTTGAAAATGCCAAGAGCCATCAGCGGGGGGGGGGATACAGAATTGCAGCCGCCTTTTGGGCTCCAGCGGCTCTTCGTCGCTTTCCCAGGAGAAGCGCTGCCGGGGCCACGGGTGCTGCCCCCATGGCTGGTGCTGGGGGGTGAGGAGGGGGCTGGGAGGGTCCCCCCTCTCGGTGGGCGGTGGTGGACCTCCACCAGCCCACCATGGAGAAGGCTTCTCCTTGCCCGGCCCTCACCACCCCATGGCCCCCACCCTCCTCGGGGTTGTTGCGGCAGGAGCCAGGGTGGGGGGCAGGAAGGTGACCCCCGAGGGTCTGGAGTCCTACAGGTGCCCCATGGTCTCCTCGTGGGGTGGTGGCCACGGCCTCCAGCTGGAGCTGGACCAGCGGAGCAACCACGGTGATGTTCTCCTTGCTCTTACCTTCAGGGTCTGCCTTTGACCTCACCCTCGAGGTCTCCCTGGGCCTGGTCTTCGGGGTCCTCCCATACCTTCAAGGCCTTCCCCACCTTCAGGGTCCTCCTTGGCCTCACCTTCAAGATCTCCCTTGGCCTGGTCTTCAGGGTCCTCCCTCACCTTCAAGGTCTTCTTCATCTTTAGGGTCTCCCTCGGCCTGGTCTTCAGGCTCCTCCCTCACCTTCAGAGTCCCCCTTGGTCTCACCTTCAAGGTCTTCCTCATCTTCAGGGTCTCCCTCACCTTCAGGATCTCCCTCAGCCTCACCTTTAGCATCTCCCTCACCTTCAAGGTCTTTGGATCACGGTGTTGTGATTGACGTGGGGTGGACCCACCTTTATGACTTGATTCTGGTGATGGGCAAAGGGACTGAGTGGGGTTTTTTGGGGTCCGAGTGGGGGTTTTGGGCTCAGAATGGGTTTTTTTGGGGTTCGAGTGGGGTTTTTTGGGAACCAAGCCTTTCCGTAGCACCCTGACTTCGGGGCAGCGCCGTGGGGCGCTCTGCCCCCCTCCAGCAGGTTGGGGGGGCCCTGGGGCGACGCGGCCCGAGGCTGGTTGTGTAAGCGCCGCCACCGCTGGAGCCATGGGAGCCGTAGCCCAGATTTCTTCGTTAGAGCCGCATTCGTTAGTGTTAGAAGAGGAAAACCCCATTGCTGTTTGGCATGAAAAGAACCCAAAACCGGGTATTTTTAAGGCCTGGGCTGGGCTCCTTGGGGTCCCTGAGCCGTGGGCTGCCGGGGCCGATCCCGGGGGGAAAAATCATCCTCCTCCTCTTCCTCCTCTTCCTCCTCCTCTTCCTCCTCCGGTGGGGGATTTGGGAAGAATCCCACCTGCTCCACTCTTCCCGGTGGCCCAAATGCCTGGAAATCCCTTCCTCTCCTCTGCAGGCTCATCCATAACAAGCTTCTGATCCCAGGATCCGCCGGGAGCGGGTGGAATTGTCCCCGGATCCGACCCTTTCCCCCCCTCCTTGGTTTAATTATCGAGCTGGGTTTTCTGCCCCCCCCAGCCCCCGGGAGTAGGATTTTGGGGCTCCGTTGTGTCCGGGAACGGGCTGGACCCTTCCCAAGCGATGCCAAACCCAGCCCAGAGCCCTTCTGTCCCCCCCCGAGGGGGTGTTTCCAGGGGGGGCTCCCCATCCTGGAGGAGATGAGATGCTTTATTTACTCTTTGGAGGGTCTGCTTTCCCCGGGGGGGGGTATTCTTTGCATTGTTTTCCCATCCTTTGGGGGGGTCAGGGTTTTTTGGACACCCCAAGGAAGGGTGGGGGGGCTTTGGGGTGACAGTG